TGTTTCTTTTTCTACATGTAACATGTTAACCGTCACCAAGTCAACTATTCTTGTCCCTAGTCATAGATTAAGAAGACTGGTTTATATGTAATCTATTTAAGTTTATATACTTATATGTATAATATCAAACAAGATTTTTTTGTTAACGACCAACCCATATATAAAACTATATGTTTTGTGATCACTTGTTTCTTTTTCTACATGTAACATGTTAACCGTCACCAAGTCAACTATTCTTGTCCCTAGTCATAGATTAAGAAGACTGGTTTATATGTAATCTATTTAAGTTTATATACTTATATGTATAATATCAAACAAGATTTTTTTTTGTTAACGACCAACCCATATATAAAACTATATGTTTTGTGATCACTTGTTTCTTTTTCTACATGTAACATGTTAACCGTCACCAAGTCAACTATTCTTGTCCCTAGTCATAGATTAAGAAGACTGGTTTATATGTAATCTATTTAAGTTTATATACTTATATGTATAATATCAAACAAGATTTTTTTGTTAACGACCAACCCATATATAAAACTATATGTTTTGTGATCACTTGTTTCTTTTTCTACATGTAACATGTTAACCGTCACCAAGTCAACTATTCTTGTCCCTAGTCATAGATTAAGAAGACTGGTTTATATGTAATCTATTTAAGTTTATATACTTATATGTATAATATCAAACAAGATTTTTTTGTTAACGACCAACCCATATATAAAACTATATGTTTTGTGATCACTTGTTTCTTTTTCTACATGTAACATGTTAACCGTCACCAAGTCAACTATTCTTGTCCCTAGTCATAGATTAAGAAGACTGGTTTATATGTAATCTATTTAAGTTTATATACTTATATGTATAATATCAAACAAGATTTTTTTGTTTATATGTAATCTATTTAAGTTTATATACTTATATGTATAATATCAAACAAGATTTTTTTGTTAACGACCAACCCATATATAAAACTATATGTTTTGTGATCACTTGTTTCTTTTTCTACATGTAACATGTTAACCGTCACCAAGTCAACTATTCTTGTCCCTAGTCATAGATTAAGAAGACTGGTTTATATGTAATCTATTTAAGTTTATATACTTATATGTATAATATCAAACAAGATTTTTTTGTTAACGACCAACCCATATATAAAACTATATGTTTTGTGATCACTTGTTTCTTTTTCTACATGTAACATGTTAACCGTCACCAAGTCAACTATTCTTGTCCCTAGTCATAGATTAAGAAGACTGGTTTATATGTAATCTATTTAAGTTTATATACTTATATGTATAATATCAAACAAGATTTTTTTGTTTATATGTAATCTATTTAAGTTTATATACTTATATGTATAATATCAAACAAGATTTTTTTTTGTTTATATTTAATCTATTTAAGTTTATATACTTATATGTATAATATCAAACAAGATTTTTTTGTTTATATGTAATCTATTTAAGTTTATATACTTATATGTATAATATCAAACAAGATTTTTTTGTTAACGACCAACCCATATATAAAACTATATGTTTTGTGATCACTTGTTTCTTTTTCTACATGTAACATGTTAACCGTCACCAAGTCAACTATTCTTGTCCCTAGTCATAGATTAAGAAGACTGGTTTATATGTAATCTATTTAAGTTTATATACTTATATGTATAATATCAAACAAGATTTTTTTGTTAACGACCAACACATCAATAAAATTATATGTTTTGTGATCACTTGTTTCTTTTTCTACATGTAACATGTTAACCGTCACCAAGTCAACTATTCTTGGCCCTAGTCATAGATTAAGAAGACTGGTTTATATGTAATCTATTTAAGTTTATATACTTATATGTATAATATCAAACAAGATTTTTTTGTTAACGACCAAACCATATATAAAACTATATGTTTTGTGATCACTTGTTTCTTTTTCTACATGTAACATGTTAACCGTCACCAAGTCAACTATCCTTGTCCCTAGTCATAGATTAAGAAGACTGGTTTATATGTAATCTATTTAAGTTTATATACTTATATGTATAATATCAAACAAGATTTTTTTGTTAACGACCAACCCATATATAAAACTATATGTTTTGTGATCACTTGTTTCTTTTTCTACATGTAACATGTTAACCGTCACCAAGTCAACTATTCTTGTCCCTAGTCATAGATTAAGAAGACTGGTTTATATGTAATCTATTTAAGTTTATATACTTATATGTATAATATCAAACAAGATTTTTTTGTTAACGACCAACCCATATATAAAACTATATGTTTTGTGATCACTTGTTTCTTTTTCTACATGTAACATGTTAACCGTCACCAAGTCAACTATTCTTGTCCCTAGTCATAGATTAAGAAGACTGGTTTATATGTAATCTATTTAAGTTTATATACTTATATGTATAATATCAAACAAGATTTTTTTGTTAACGACCAACCCATATATAAAACTATATGTTTTGTGATCACTTGTTTCTTTTTCTACATGTAACATGTTAACCGTCACCAAGTCAACTATTCTTGTCCCTAGTCATAGATTAAGAAGACTGGTTTATATGTAATCTATTTAAGTTTATATACTTATATGTATAATATCAAACAAGATTTTTTTGTTAACGACCAACCCATATATAAAACTATATGTTTTGTGATCACTTGTTTCTTTTTCTACATGTAACATGTTAACCGTCACCAAGTCAACTATTCTTGTCCCTAGTCATAGATTAAGAAGACTGGTTTATATGTAATCTATTTAAGTTTATATACTTATATGTATAATATCAAACAAGATTTTTTTGTTAACGACCAACCCATATATAAAACTATATGTTTTGTGATCACTTGTTTCTTTTTCTACATGTAACATGTTAACCGTCACCAAGTCAACTATTCTTGTCCCTAGTCATAGATTAAGAAGACTGGTTTATATGTAATCTATTTAAGTTTATATACTTATATGTATAATATCAAACAAGATTTTTTTGTTAACGACCAACCCATATATAAAACTATATGTTTTGTGATCACTTGTTTCTTTTTCTACATGTAACATGTTAACCGTCACCAAGTCAACTATTCTTGTCCCTAGTCATAGATTAAGAAGACTGGTTTATATGTAATCTATTTAAGTTTATATACTTATATGTATAATATCAAACAAGATTTTTTTGTTAACGACCAACCCATATATAAAACTATATGTTTTGTGATCACTTGTTTCTTTTTCTACATGTAACATGTTAACCGTCACCAAGTCAACTATTCTTGTCCCTAGTCATAGATTAAGAAGACTGGTTTATATGTAATCTATTTAAGTTTATATACTTATATGTATAATATCAAACAAGATTTTTTTGTTAACGACCAACCCATATATAAAACTATATGTTTTGTGATCACTTGTTTCTTTTTCTACATGTAACATGTTAACCGTCACCAAGTCAACTATTCTTGTCCCTAGTCATAGATTAAGAAGACTGGTTTATATGTAATCTATTTAAGTTTATATACTTATATGTATAATATCAAACAAGATTTTTTTGTTAACGACCAACCCATATATAAAACTATATGTTTTGTGATCACTTGTTTCTTTTTCTACATGTAATAGTTAACCGTCACCAAGTCAACTATTCTTGTCCCTAGTCATAGATTAAGAAGACTGGTTTATATGTAATCTATTTAAGTTTATATACTTATATGTATAATATCAAACAAGATTTTTTTGTTAACGACCAACCCATATATAAAACTATATGTTTTGTGATCACTTGTTTCTTTTTCTACATGTAATAGTTAACCGTCACCAAGTCAACTATTCTTGTCCCTAGTCATAGATTAAGAAGACTGGTTTATATGTAATCTATTTAAGTTTATATACTTATATGTATAATATCAAACAAGATTTTTTTGTTAACGACCAACCCATATATAAAACTATATGTTTTGTGATCACTTGTTTCTTTTTCTACATGTAACATGTTAACCGTCACCAAGTCAACTATTCTTGTCCCTAGTCATAGATTAAGAAGACTGGTTTATATGTAATCTATTTAAGTTTATATACTTATATGTATAATATCAAACAAGATTTTTTTGTTTATATGTAATCTATTTAAGTTTATATACTTATATGTATAATATCAAACAAGATTTTTTTGTTTATATGTAATCTATTTAAGTTTATATACTTATATGTATAATATCAAACAAGATTTTTTTGTTAACGACCAACACATCAATAAAATTATATGTTTTGTGATCACTTGTTTCTTTTTCTACATGTAACATGTTAACCGTCACCAAGTCAACTATTCTTGTCCCTAGTCATAGATTAAGAAGACTGGTTTATATGTAATCTATTTAAGTTTATATACTTATATGTATAATATCAAACAAGATTTTTTTGTTAACGACCAACCCATATATAAAACTATATGTTTTGTGATCACTTGTTTCTTTTTCTACATGTAACATGTTAACCGTCACCAAGTCAACTATTCTTGTCCCTAGTCATAGATTAAGAAGACTGGTTTATATGTAATCTATTTAAGTTTATATACTTATATGTATAATATCAAACAAGATTTTTTTGTTAACGACCAACCCATATATAAAACTATATGTTTTGTGATCACTTGTTTCTTTTTCTACATGTAACATGTTAACCGTCACCAAGTCAACTATTCTTGTCCCAAGTCATAGATTAAGAAGACTGGTTTAGATGTAATCTATTTAAGTTTATAAACTTATATGTATAATATCAAACAAGATTTTTTTGTTAACGACCAACACATCAATAAAATTATATGTTTTGTGATCACTTCTTTCTTTTCATTCTACATGTTAACCATTCACTAGTCAACTCTTCTTGTCCCTAGTCATATTTTATTAAGACCGGTCTATATATAATTTATTTCAGACTACATTCCACAAATAGTTTTATTAACATCTATCTATCTATATATATCTATCTCTGTCACTCACCTAGTTTCTCCAGGTACTTGTCGTCCATGGCCATCATCTGCTCGTATGTAATATTAGTGAACAGCCACACGTACTTGTGCAACCGGAGACTCTTCAACCACTGACCCACAGTTGACATGCCGGGATGTTCCGCGAAATTATTCGTTCTGAGGTCATCTAGCCTGGTTTCGCTACCAGTGGTTCCGTACGTCACTCCTATAGGTCGTAGTTGAGTCAGACTATGTTCACTAGATAGTGAGAAGCTCCTAGGTTTTTGGACGAATGGCTCGTCGCTGAGGTTCTCCGCTGAAGAGGACATTTGCATGAAGTTTGTTGAAGGCGGTGTGAGGCTGTTCGACCGGTGTGACTTGATCTGTGCTTCGTAGTGTGCGGGCTCCGGTTCTAATCCGAGATCTACGTCCCTGCCGTTCTTGGAGAAGGACTCTTGCAGTAAATCCGTGTATGTCGCGTGTTCTATTGAGTCCAGTACTCCTCTAAAGTCCACGTTCTTGCCTATAGTCCGTCGGAAGGTGTTGTTTGCGGACCATATGTTAGTATCCTGCAGCAGGCCCGGTTCTATCCGCTGCTGCCACGACGTCTCACTGTTCCTGTTCCCTGATATGTGATTCTCTAAATAGCGGAGCCATTGCGTTAATGTTCTGAAAAATATATCACGATACGATAAATATATTAAGAAAACAAATCGGTTTACTATGAAATAAAATAAGGTTACAAAATGATCTTCAGGAGACATGCTTAATTAACTTCATAGAAAGTGAGTAATTGAAGATTAACATAGATACTATTAATGAATGATTGCAATCAATGGTCACTTTATACCAAATAGTCAACATAAAACTTATTCTCTTCAGATGATAATAATATTTAACTTCATTTAAATTATTATGTCAAAACACTACAGTCAATCTGGGTAACTTTGATTCATCGGGTAACTTTGACAGCGGGACCATAAACTAGCTTCGATTATTTTTTCGCATGAAACTAACACTATTCATATATGTTTCATTTTGATTTTCGATTTTAAATAAGCTTCTTAAACGGACTTTTAAAAAAATAAGTTGTGAAAGTAAAAAACGTCAAAACTTTTTTCTGAAAATAGCGCGGGAATTTAAGTTTACTTTAGGGTGAATAACTTTTTGAATATTTTGTGATTTTGGTTTCCGATAAGGTAAGTGAGATGTTATACAGAGCCATTTTTGATTGCACTACTTACCGCATTTTCATGAAAAATTTGCATATAATTACATCTAATTTTGAAATTTCGTGCATAAATATTAAGATACGTATTTTGAAGGGTAACTTTAACACTGTCAAAGTTAACCTTACATAGGAACTGAAATGGTGGAGGAAGAGGTGATTGAAGAATTTGTTGTTAAAGATACAGTATTGCAACATGCCCTTCAAAATATGTTGAGTTCTCACCTGGAACAACGGTTATATTTAAAACAGAAGGTACACTGTTTCCAGGAAAAGTGACAAGTTTCACATTCCCGTATTATACACTTGTTGTCATGAGTAGGTCAACACAATGTTTTTGGAAATAGCAGGATAAAAGAGAAATTATTAAAATTAAATATGATGATGTTGTATCTCCAGTAGATAACAGTAAAATCAGTATAAAACAGCCTGGGCTCTACACAATTATTAATGACTATTTGCTGTATATGGAGTGGGGAGAATAGACAAGTTATGCTCAAGATTTTACAAAATGTTTGTTTGTTTTAATAATTTTTGCTTGTTTTCCTTTTAATTTGAATAAAAATGTTAAATTAAAGGAGTTTTTTAAGTGTTTTTGATGGTGTTTAAAAAATGTGTGTAACATTGCCAAATGTTGTAGACTGATTCTTCATATTTTTTTTAATATAAGACAAAACTGCAAAATGGTTGTTTCATAGCGTCACATGCATCCATTAGTTAATGAATATATACACCAATGTTACCCAGATTGATAAAAATAATACTTATTACTACTTTTTTATGCATGGCTCTGTGTCAAATGTGTGTCTCTGTGTCAAATGCATGTGTCAAAGTTACCCTCATAAGATGGGTAACTTTGACACTCACAGAATTGAGATTTTATACTATATTGGTATGTTTTATAAACTTTCTGTGATTGTCTAGAGACGGAAAGCATAATATGAGAGCACGGATAAAATAAAAAATACTCGAGTGATAAGTAAATATAAGTAGTATAAAATATCACCCGTTTCTGTCAAAGTTACCCAGATTGACTGTAATGATAATAATATATTAATTATAAACAATATATTCTAGTAGCTTAGTCATTACCTCTGGTCATGTATAGTGAACGCTGGATGTACCAGCTGGTAGGACAGCAGCTGTCTACAAAGATGCGTGGCCGCTGGTGATCTAGATGAGTCTACACAACGCTGCACCAGGCCTGGGGTCGAGGATACATACACGTTCTTGGCACGCTCGTTGTCTGTACGGAGGAGAGGCAGTAGAGTGAGCAGCTGACGAAGACGTTCACCATCTGGAAATATATATAAATATATTAATATAGATAATTAAATAAATTGCATATTAATTAATGTTGATTCCCAAAAGAGGGTTGATGTCAGGCAGGCGGCCGGTCGTAAAAACAAATAGACAAAACTAATCACAACATGTAAGCCAGACCCTGGCTATAGCTGGGAAATTGCCAGGTAGAAGAAGAATTAAATAAATTGCATATGTGAGTCAATGACACTCCAGTTTTATACTGTTAGTTGTAAAAATATAATAAAAATTGTTTGTTTAACGAGAAACACATATATTTTTTTTAATTTTCAGTCTGTATGTTGTAGTACAGAGGCAATATTATTTTACATATTAATATAGAAAATTATATAACTTGCATATGTGAGTCAACCGACATATTGGTTGTTTACTGTTATGTGTAAAAGTATGATAAAAAAAGTGTTTATTTTATGAGAAACCTATAATTTTCAGTGTTTATTTCTTAGTATAGTAACTATATTATTATTAAAATGGTTCATGAGATATATTCAAACAGATGACAAACAGATAGATGACCACTGGAAATTTAGAACACATACATATTATATTGAGAACAGTTTCCTATACTATCTCTCATGGTTCAGAACTCTAAATGAAACGTTTGATCAAAATATATAAGATTACTAAATATTAAAATATTGTATATACAATGGAAATATAAATAATATTTATACCTTACATATATAACACATTGTGAAACAAACTGAATGAACTATTGTTGTACTAGAATAAAACTAATACTTTTCAGATTATTGTACTACTCCTATTATACCATTTTTATAACTGGAATGATCATGGTTGCTGAAAAGTAAATGAAACATGGAGAGTATGTATTTTTACAATAATAAATATGCAAGTGTAATCCAAAAAGTAGTAATATTATTTAAATGAATACTCGCAAAAACTTTCAACTCATAATTCTTGCACAAGAGATATATTGTGGTTTTTCTTATACATAATATAATATGTTTTCATTGTGTACTAACCTAATGCCGGGTAGACAGTGACTAACAGATATACACTTTATCTAATGACTTTATAAAAAATATTGGTTTCTCATTTGCATAGTCATTATAATTATAAATATATCGATTATTCTAACACACAGATTCCTGCAAGTCATACATAACATTACATTTAACATTTGGTCATGATACCACTAATATGAACCTTACTTATACATGTAATTAATAAGGCCCGGATAAATATGTATTAAAAAATCTAAGATATTTACATAAAATATGGACGAAAAAATCAAAAATATGGAGTATAAAACAAAATACTTTCATAATAACATTGTTTTACTATAAGAAATGGGTCACTCGTGACATACATCATTAAGTTACATTTAAAAAACAATGAAAAAAATAAGGAAATATTTATTTTAACAAAAAATAACAGTTTTATTCAAATTCCATTACGCTAGCGTTATCAAATTGGTTGCAATACACAATGACGTGCTTCTTTAAATTATCAAAATGAAAACTGACCATTTGGTCGACATATAGCATTACATCTGCTGATTGGTCTCATCTCAAGTCACATGACGTGATGGATGCATACTTAAACATGCTTAATTCAGTAATTATGTAAGCCATGTCTACAGCCCTCGAAACATCCTTACAGAAGTTTGTTAATATTTTTTAAACATATAAAATCCTTTATTTTTATCCAAAACATTAGTGGCGGGAACATAAATTTTATGTATTTTTGTGAATACACATATGGATGATTGTGACATTTTCTTGTAAAATATGGACTTAACTTTGATATATGGCAAAATATGGAAAATAAAAGTTGGGTTTTCACAGTCTAAATATGACAATCCATGTAGAAAATTCATTCTAGACCGAAAATCGCGTAAATTAAAAATATGTATTTACGTATTAATCCAGGCCCTAGTAATTAATATCTAGCCATGACACAGGAATACCTAGTGTGGGCACCACCAGACATTTTTCAATAAACATTATTTCATTTCATTTTTCAATATATCATATAGAAATACTTAATATATATTATGTACTATAGAAATATTTACAATGTCAGTGAAATGGAAAATAAACACATTTATACTTATGGCCTTTAAAATTTTGTGAATCAAAGTTATGTGGGAATTGCAATATATTTGAGTTTATTACAAACATTGTATATTAATTAATTTTAGCTCTCAGTGAACACAGGATGATGGTGATGTCATCACTGAGAACAATCTTCATCACCAAGGAAACCATCAATTGAATAGTTTTATAAATGGTATCACTTGTCAATATAGAAATTTATTATTAACATTTTCCTTTTCTGATTTAACTAATTAACATATATATAAGTGAGTAATGTTTGTGAATGATGATATTTCGTTGTTATAATGTTAGTTCAGTATGTATGATGTTCGAGTGTCGTATCGAGACGCCTACCTTCTTCGTCATGTTCATCCGTCCTGGCCGCGAGGAGGCTGGCGAGTAACGTCTCGTCGTTGGCGTCTCTCTCGAGCCGCTCGTCCCCTACATGGTTCTGCAGGGCTGCCTCCACCGCCCTCTGCACCAACCGCAGCCCTGGCCACGGCACCCTCCGAGCGAGGGCGCAGGCCACCACCGTCCGCTCGCAGGCGCCCCACTGCTCGAACATCTTGGCCACACCCCCGAGCTGCTCGTAAAACGTCCCGTTCATATCGCTAACAGCATATCACCTCTCTATATCAGATTTGTTTGTGATCAACACGTCAGACTGCTGACAGCTGATCGTTTCCAGATTAATTCGGCCAGGTTTGAAATCGCAGCTCTCTCAGGGGGCGACGGCGGAAACAAGGCCACGCGTGCGACGTGGTAAACGGTGCAAAATAAATGCTAAAATTGAAGGTAGGAGCAAAACATAACAACTGTTCTTATTCGACAGCCAGTCAGATTATCAAATTCCGAAATGGCGGAGCACAGACTAAAAAAATATAGCAGTTTATCACAATAATAAGTTGCTTATGATAAGTTCTTATACCACTAGGGGGCGTTACTTCAAATAAATTTACGATATATCACGGTTTGATATGTTTAGTTTATCCGTATTACTATTTCTTTTGTGTTATAGTATTTAAATACAAAATAATTAATAAAAATGTAAGTTTCCTCCCATATAATTGACAATTGATTACTGTCAACATTTAAACATTTGTCATAGATGTCAAAATAGTAATAAACAAATAAATACATACATTTTTTAATCTTCATGTATTTATTCCTACAAAATATTCATGACTATACTGTAGAGGCATTTAATACCGGTATAAACTTCTTCAACTTGGTTCACCATCGTATGAAAGACATTAAAGAATGGACTCATTGATATGTAGGATTTGTCTGGATAAGACCGGTACGATATCTATATTCGATTGTGAAACCGATAATATGCAGTACAGCAGTAAAATAATGCAAATAGTCAATATCATTATAAACGAGGATGATGGCTTACCTAGTATGATATGTGAGGGTTGTGCCGGGGACTTATCCCTGTCCTATCAATTCGTGCAGAAATGCCAAGCGTCGGACAAGGCACTGCGATGTTTGAGCACACCAATAGAACTATACTCGGATCTTCAAGTGGACATCATGAATATTAAAGAAGAGGATATCAAAAACGAAACAGATGACGGCGACAACGAATTTGATGAAACATTCCTGTTAGAAAATTGTTCGAAACAATATTTCGAGAAGCGACGGTATAATAATGCAGACGACGTAGACTTGAGAAAGGATGAAGATAAAAATAAGAGTGAACCAAAATATAATTCTGATACAAAAGCATTTTTTGGAAATTGTCAAAATGATAAAAGTATAAAAGACAAAAATCGTAGAAAAAAATTGGGTCGAGGGAAAATGGGACCTATACAGTGTGTTATTTGTGGTCTGATGGCGTCAAGTCCGTCAGCTATGGAGATACATATGAGGACCCATACTGGAGAAAAACCATTCATGTGTATAGCATGTAATACAAAATTCCCTACTAAAGGATCCTTGAAGAGACACAATGAAACCTACCACTTAGCTAGAGAAAGAAAATTTACCTGTGAGACATGTGGCAGCAGCTTTTTTAGGAAAAATGATATAATAACACACATGAGGGTTCACACAGACGAGAGGCCGTATGTTTGTCAATACTGTTCTAAGAGGTTCCGACAAGTCGCTTCTCGTAATAGACATCAGATAGTACACACTGGAGAAAAACCATATGCATGTCCCATATGTGATAAGAAATTTGCTCATAAAAGCCTTGTAACAAAACACCAAAGTGTCCATAGTGATGAGAAAAAATACACTTGCCACCTTTGTAGCAAGTCGATGAAATCCCGAACGGCTTTAAATGTCCACATAGGCTTACACACTAACGAGAAACAAAATGTATGTAGTTTCTGTGGAATGGCATTTGCCATGAAGGGTAACCTGCAGACACATATCCGAAGAATACATTCAGAGAAATCTGGACAATGTTCCACTTGTTTGAAGACATTTTCAGACTTAGAAGTGCATATGAGAAAGCATACCGGAGAAAAACCATACATATGTGGAACTTGCAATGCCGCCTTCTCTGTTAAAAGGAGTTTAGCCCACCATATGATGTTTAAGCATGAAAACGCTGGCAAATACAAATGTTCTATTGGCGACTGTTCAAAAACGTTCCCTACAGCGACGATGCTCGAGTTCCACCTAATGAAGCAGCATACTAACCACACTCCGTATACCTGCCAACATTGCCCTCGAAGGTTCTTCAGAACCAGTGATCTCTCCCGACATCTCCGAGCAAGTCATATGGACATACAATTCAAGCCTCAGCTCAAAACTCTCCTACCTAAAACTATCTCTTATGCTTAAGTTAACAAACTCGTAATTTTATATTGAACTAGTCATTGTTATATTTTAAGTTATTTCAGTCAGTTTAACCTGATTATTGTAAGTGTATATTCTTATTTATATTTGAAGCATGTCTGAGTACTATCTGTCGACATATCTTAAAACCCTGGCATTTATCTAGTAAGTAATCAAATAAGTACTTGAAATGTTTTCTATATTAATTTATTACCTAACTTGTTACCAGTGACCTTAATATATAAAGTAGATTTAGATAAACAGATGTAATTAAATCAATCATTTTACTTTTCTAAGCTATATAACAACTAATAATTTATTTCGTATATGTTACAAAGACATATCTGGACCTTCGCTGCCACCTACAACTTATGAAATAGGTAAATAAAACTATGTACGATGAAATATGTGTAATGTGATAGGTATACATATTTATATTTATGATGGAGTTTGAGTACCTGAACAAACTAAAATGTAACATTTTCCAAATTATCAAGTTCTAGGCGAGATTTAGCTATTGTTACTATAGGAATCTCGAATGAATTCTTATTAGATTATTAAGTAGATGCTGATAAGTTATTGTTTATTTAAACAAATATATTATAGAGGAACGTTATGTTAAATACTTAGATATAACACAAACAATTTGTATTATACTTTGATCTAAAAATAATTAAATAAACCGACCGTTTCATAACTTTATTACTGTTTGGTTATTATTAAACAATTCCCTCCAAAGTATACCCTTTTTTATTCCAAGGTCCACAAGCCCTTCCTTATTCAGCGGTGCGTGAATCCGCGCTCGAATTTCAAACTTGGAACAGTCGCTGTCGCGGTCGCTAAAACAGTACGTCGATAAAACAGTTTCAGGTGTATCGCTATGCCCCTTTCTTTTTTTTCACAGGTAACACCGTCGTTCTCTCTCTCACATTACACTACGACCGTCCGCTCCAGTGTCGCGCCTCGCGTCGAACGCCAATAACCGATAGTTCCCCGAGCGTGGCAGGTGTTAGTGCCGTGATGTGTATATCATGAAATTCAGTGGCGGATATTGAAGTAAACATATCGGATCGGTCGAGTCGTCATCATGAGTGAAGTGAGTATCTGATCGGAATGCGGTGCTCTACTTGAGAGCGTTCCGATTGTTGGTCCTGCGGTCTGGTCGTGAGTTCGTAGGTCGTCGGTCTCTGAGCAGTGAGCACTTACGGTCCATACCGTCGTAGGCTGCTGGCGTGCCGTTCTCGTATTGGGTTATTAATTACACTTAAACGCGCCGCTTAGTCGTTACATTTTGATATTTTCAGTATGGAGGTAGAAAGCTTATTCAATATTAATATTTGGCACTCTTAAATAAAAGTAACGATTTTGTTCGAAACATTTGAAAATTTTTGAATATTTTATCATTAATAATGGTTATTTTTTATTCGTAGTCATCGAATGTTCTTGCAATATTGATAATTATGATAGCTGTCTTATCTGTTTAATAACGTGACTATCTTTTATTTTTCCCTCATTTATCAATACTTAACGATTCCAAGTATTATTTCCATAATTACTTCTATAGTCTTGATTCATAGTCGCTGTAGGAATGTACCGAATAAATTAAAAATGTTTGTACAAATAACGGACAGACACTTATGTACTCATTTTATGACCATTACCCTCAAAACCTATAGAATTATGATTTAATAAGAGTTTATATTAAGCGTGACTTACATATACGATCGTAGTCCTTTAACAGTTATTATAAGGTCAATTCGTACGAGGTCGACTTCTCGCTCTTAATAAAAAATACCGCCTCGACTAACCAACTTAAGATTATCGTAAGATAAACGAAATTTAAATAACAAATATATTAAAACGTATTGCAAAACTAAGAAGAATAAAAAACGATTTAGGTAACACGTCTGCATAAAGACGGTATACAAATTTTATTTTAAGTAGGTGAATGTTCCAACGTCCGAGGTACGGTACACCTGCGACCGAAATTTTGTTTAACCATAGTCGTTAATTGTTGAAACAATATGTCACTATAAGGTTAAAATAACACATGTACCTACTTAGACTGTTTATGATTCATACAAGTGTAAACATTATATTTTCAACTGTTTACGTAATATATAAATGAAAGCAGTTTCTGATATATCGCGAGTCTTCGTACGTGGTCGAGGGTCAATAAGAACAAGTTGGAAACACGCTCTGAATTGAGATGTGTAACAGTGTTCACATAACATGTGACACAAAGTTAGCGATCTTTATGTAGGTTACAGGCACGTTCTCGAACATTCCAAATAATTAATACTAACTATGATTGTTCGCAGACCAGTCTCAAAGAAGATCCCCTCTCCAGAATACAAAGGGAGATCATCGAGGTCACGGAAAGGGAGAGGGAGTTCAAAGAGGGACACTTCAGAATGAGCAGACTGTTGTCGGAGTCCACCATAGACGTGACCAACCAGAACGGACACCTCAACGGCGATGAGAGGCCGCAGAAGACATTGAACAGAGCCGTGTCCACGTCGCACCTGCTGGGACCCATCGCCCCCTCGCCGCCCGCCACGCCCGCGCTGCTCACCACCAACGGGTACACGCGCAGGTTCACGCCGCAGAACGGGACCAAAGGAATCATGCAGAGGTTTATAGCCAACAAGGGCAAGCTGCCGGTCACCTCCCCCGGCCCGCCGACCACCCCGACCGCCCTGACGGCCCCGCTAGTGTTCACGCCCGTCACAGCCGCACCTGTGGCGCCGCCCGTCATCACACGCACCCCGGAGGGAAAACCGGTGAGGAAGGGATACGTGCCGGTGGAGGAGAAGATACAGAAGGAACTGAGAGAGATGAAGGACAGAGAACACGAGCTCAAGAAGATGAGGAAGAAGCAGAAGCCCTTCGACATAGAACTGAGCGACTCAGAGCTGACCTCGGAGTCGGAGGAGGAGGACATCCCGCCGCCCGGGAGACTGAAGGCCACCAAGTCTATAGGCGAGCTGTACGAGGCTCTCAGCGAGGAGCTGAGGTCGCCCTCGCCCAGGAACAGCTCGGGACACGACTCGCTCGGCAGTCTGAAGCCGGCCAAGTCTCTGGCGCAGCTGTGCGAGCTGGGCCCCGGCCAAGAGTTCCTGGCCCCCAGCTCCACACGCCTCATAGCGCAGTGGGAGTCCATCATACAGCAGAAACAGGAAGCGGGAGCGGCCTAGTTCATACTAACGACGGGACGGATGCGTGATGTTAGGACGGCGTGTGACGTCACAAAGGGCGCGGGAGACGGGCGGGCTCGTGTGGGGAGAGGTGGTCTGTGAAACATCCAAGTATAGTGTCAGGGAGCCTCAGTGAATGTGTGCTTATTGATTTCTCTATTCGATGAACAATAGTGAGTGTGTCAGCGTCGCGTGTGTTGAAAGCGGGCTCCATGCTGCGCCATGTGACTCCACAGTTTCTTCTTATTGTTCGATGATCACCGTCTTTAAAAAATATATAGTTTTTCTCGCGCTTTCCCGCCCCGCCTCTCCGCCGCACTGTCACCTTCAATCGCTGCGAGGTTTCGATCGACTGCGTGGGAATTTTGGGATAATAATAGTACAATGTGATAAATTATGTTTTTTTTATTATAATTTTTATTAGTTCCGCATGTTTGCTCCCGTTTATTCATATTTGGAATGAACTAGACGTGTTTATAAAGTGACTGATTTTTTTGTACTAGAGATATATTTATTTTATTGCTGGTAACATTGTATCGTATTTATCTGTTCGTGTTTATTCTCTTGTTTCTCTAAATTATTTTTTAAATTTACTTCGCCAAAATATGCTTTGAGTTCGTTTTCTGGTCTAAGTGAAAATTATTATGAATTTTATGAAACGGGCTCGACCAATCAGAATATACATATACCAATCATAATATACATTTATAATATTAAATTGTTACAGAAATTGAGATATATCATATAACTATATACATATTAGCTTCGATTGTATTAATTAATATTAATAATGAACAGAGCACTATTATCTGGATGTACTTAAGTAATATTTATATTGTTATTTATGATTATACACTGTACAATTAATATTTAGTGTCAAAACAGTGCCTTATATGAAGTAGTGTGCACAACTCTTCTCTCACAGAACATATTTTTTGCAGTAAATTTTAGAAGAGAATGACGATATAATGTAGTAGGTGGTTAATGTATTAGAGATTTTTAACATTATTAAATAATAATTATTTATAGTTAATTGGATAATCATTTTGATACTGTTGTATGTCAATACTGGCAATGTTTTTTCCTAAACTTATTTATTATCTGTGGCTTTGAAGTACAGAATGTTACTGAAGTTGCACTCTTACTATTACTATGTTGAAAATTATTTTTATATTTCGTAAAACTTGTTATAATATATATGTATGAATCCAAAGACGATTGGATATAGGCGACCCGTGTTAAAGCGATCATTGTGTTAAATTGTAATAATATTATTGAGAGTGCGTTTTTGAACAAATGTGATACAAAATTGCCTTAAATATTCCTATATTTATATACATGTATATTATATTTACAATAGGTTCATGTTGTTGCGTTCATGTGTCGAGGTTTTCGCAATAAATTTTCAAATGCATACCTGTGTTATTTGATACCTGTATCATGTTCCCGCGCAATTGTGTCAATGACATATGTCACCGGCGACACAACATATGATATGTATTAACAGTAATCATATATTATTAGCTAATAATATTAAATAAAACTAATACTTTCGGTTTAATATTCATTGTTCTTACATTTTCATCTCGTTTTCGTGATCATGGTTGGTACAAAGTAACTGAAACGTCGGGAGTATAAAGTTTGTAATAATGAAAAAAACCCGTAGTAATCTGAAAATATTGGTTTTATTTAAATGAATACTCGCGAAAGTTAGATCTCATTAAGTTACTATTAAATTATTACTGTAGTAGTATATTTAAATTATGTTTTAATCCCTGTCTAAAGTGGGTGAGTATTATATGTGGACATGTGAGTCTTAATGTGGTATCATAATTCTCACAGGGATAGACCGATTTCAATGCTCTTTTTTTCGTTGGAAAACCAGTTTCATTGTATAGTTCTTATCTATGTTTGGTTAAAGTCACTTAGAAGTGTAACAATTTAAATATTTACAATAAGGTAAGGCATTATTGACGTATGATTAATCATTGAGTGTCTGTATATGTGGGGTTTTTCAAACTTGTAAAATGTATTCTTGGTATGAATGAAACTTAAAGTTCAGAAACTGATCGGAACACGAGAAAAATCAGCGTATAGTAACTACCTATAATGAACGAAGGTTTTCTGTTAGTATTTTATTTGGATTATAAAAAATCTTAGTCTTTAGGTACCTAATTCATTAATTGCTTTGTTATAGTTTTGGGTATAATTAAAATAATTTAAAGCGGAAGAAAGTATATACTTTCATTTTTATAATAATCTGTTTCCGTAGCGCGTCGTGTTCACAGACGGCAGGTCATGGAATCTCTTAAAATAATAAGGATTTCCGCTCCTAATAGTTTGTACATTACGATGTTAGATTACTATCATGAATCACATTGATACCGATCGTCCAATATTTATAGTAGGTATATCTATTTGTCAAATTATGATGTTTCACTGAAAAACGAGTAAGTATTAATCCATAAATAATTGTAAAAGTAACAATTGTTGGTACTTTATCTTAATCGGTTATACTCCTATGTTTTGCTGTTTTTTATGTCAAACCAGACTTGCTAATGTCATTTGTAGACTTCACAATGAATACAGTGTAATTATAAAAGACATTCAACGTAATTTAAATGAAACTCTTAGATCTCATTATCCTACGTAATAATTCGATTAAAATCTAATCGTAATGGGTTCACTTTTATAGAATTATGCATATGAGACGTTCTATATCAGTTTTTAAGATAACATTCAAGTGTTAAGGCTTGAAAATATTAAAAATGAACATCTGTATATATTTTTTTAAAGTTGTCACTGCTCTGGATACGAGTCCTTTTAAGCCTATTTATATATATATATGCCAGTATGAAAGTGTTTCTTTTTTTTTACCTCTCTCTTCCTCTTATTTATAAGTCCATTGGTGGACCTATATATAAATGCATACAATGATTAATCAACCAAAGTTAAATGATTGTAATAATAATTCCATTTATCCCTGTTTAGTATAGTTGTATTAAAATATAAACAGTGAAATAATAATGTGGGAAAATAATTTATTCCACCTCAGACTTCCGCTCGAAGCCCTTTAATTATCACACAGAGAGGTAGATCTATTATTTGTTTCTCACATTTACACAACTATCAACAAATGTACGTACTTATAATATAAACATAAGAAAACTAATAATTTATCGAAGAAAGTTTTCAAGGAGACTTTCAAATAAGGTTCTGAAGAAATGATTTATCCTACTAATATTATAATTGCGAAAGTTTGTGAGTGTGTGTGTATGTTTGTTACTTCTTCACGCTCAAACGGCTGAACCGATTTTGATAAAATTTTGTATACAGGAATAACACATAGGCTACTTTACGTCCCGGAATTCCCGGAAATCCGCGGGTAACACCGCGGGGCGCAGCTAGTTTATAATAATTGTAAGTCAGTGAGGTATCTGTCGTCATGTCCAACAAATGTTTAGAACGTGATAAATTTTCTTTATTACGGTAGCACTGGTGTGGAATTAAACGGTTGGTAATCGTGTCACGTACGAAAAACTTACAGTATTGCAGTTAAATAGTTATACTTCAATGATATCAAATTTTTTCGCAAGTCATTTAAATTAATATTTTTCGGATGTACTACGAATTTTTATTTTTGATAAAAATCTAAATACTCCCGACGTTTCGGTTACTCTACAGTACACACATCTCGTCTGCCCGTGATTACGGTTGCTGTAAAGTAAGTTTTTAATCAAAAATAAAATCGCGTATAATCCGACAAATATTACTTTCATTTTAATTATAATTTATTAAGAGTTAAGAAAAAATAGTATTAAATAATTATCAATCGCTTTATTAAATATGAGATATATTTTTAAATAAATGGTATGTTAGTGTATTAAATGTAATTTGTATATTGTTATTTATTACACGTGAATGTTTAAGTATATAGATAACAGTGACGGATAGCCGATACAGTATCAGATACAAAGCGTGTTATCTGCAAATTATTACTGACAATAATCCGCACTGACTTGGATGAACAATGGATTTGGACAAATAATTAATATACTTCTACCTGGCAATTACCCAGTTTTAGCCAGGGTCTGCCTTATAAGTTGTGAATAGTTTTGGCTAATTGTTTTTACGACAGACGCCTGCCTGACATCAACTTTCTTTGGGAATAAACAAATGTAATAATATGGTTGAATATTTAGTCAGGAATGTATTTTTAATATTTAACAACAATTGATAGTACTTTATTTTTCAAGATTTCTTATAAACCAGAACCTTTACAACGTATAATTTCAATATATTTCATTTAATAACAAACTTCATAATCAATGTAAGTTTTCAAAACATAATTTCCATGCTTATTCTTAGTTTAATAAACAATTATTATTAGAAAGTGTTATCCATCGGTTTATAAAAAAGAGAAAAGTATATTCATAGAACACTACTTATACAATTAAAAAATATAAAAATTCTACACATAAGGGTATTAGCTGAATCGATTCACATATAGATGTACCTATTATTGGATTAATCTTATTATGTAAGTAAATGTAGTTTTAATTACATAGAAATAATGAGATCTAAGATATTCGCGAGTAATCATGTAAATTAAACTAATATTTACTTACTTTACAGCAACTGTGATCACGGGCGCTGTAAAGTAACCGATACGTCGAGAGTAGGTATGTAGTTTATAATCAAAAACAAAAATCGCGGAGTAAATCCGCAGATATTAGTATCATTTCCATAGAAATACATATTTAATTATCGCGAAAATATCTAATTATTGTTTAATGTAATAAAAGAATGTTACATTAATATAAAAGAAGCCGCTTTCATTAATAATAATCAAAGGAACGCGACGACCATCACATGTACTGTAATTAAAAGACTTTCATGACATTGTAGTTATTATTACAACATAATGAACATCGAACGACGCGCTATCATCTGATTGTAGTACCAATAATATTTAATATATACAGGAACCAGGGAGATACTGAAACTTGTACTTGTAAAGCTATATTATACAAGGAAATTACTTATTTAATCATCATCATCAGCTATTTATCTCCTTGGTATAAATTCTCTCCGTGTCCTAACTCTCTCATCTCTCCATATCTCCTTCCTATTCAATACATCATTCTGTTCTTTATATCGTGTGTTAATGACATGTCATATTTCGTGTATTGAATCCCTATTAATGCAACCTCCAGCCGTCACTGTCACCTTGACATCGTGTGTCAACAGTCAACGTCTGGTGTCGAATGTATATGACACGTATTAATACGAGTAATGAATGTGAAATGAACTTAATATTATTCTTTTTTTTATAAACATGAAACTTTACTTTTTTTTATGTAAAATGTGGCAAACGAGCAGACGGAATACTTGATGGGCAGTAGTGACCGTCGCCCATGGATATCCCCAATAGAGATGTTGCGGATCCGTTGCCAACTTTGGTTTTTTAGGAATAGGAAGGGAATGGGAATAAGGGATTGTTAGGAAAAGGTGGGAATAGGGAGAGGGCAACCGGTTCTTTCAGTTATCAGATGAAATGCAGCAATTAAAGACTACTTAATGCCGATCTTCTGTTAGAGGGTAGTACTTCCCCTGTTGAGCAGAATTGTATAGAACCATGTTAGAGCTGTAGTGACCACAGCTAGGTTCTTCTTCTAACTGGCAATTTCCCAGCTTTAGCCAGGGTCTGCCTTAAATGTTGTGAATAGATTTGACTAATTATTTTTACGACCGGCCGCCTGCCTGACATCAACCCTCTATGGGAATGCATTAATCAGTGATGTCTAAATACTCTTAGAGAGTACATATGACTCGGAAAAATCACATTTGTACTTTCCAGGGCCAGGAAAGAACCCGCGCCCTCGTGCATGAAAGGAGGGCCCTTTAACCACTAGGCCACCACTGACTTCATACTCTACCTCTACCACCTTAAATATACCACTTTCTTCAGATATGTAACATTATGTAAGTCGTTCTCTTCTCGTCTGATGTCCTGTCCTGTTCTTTAAACACCAACTGTCTCTCTACCACGTAGTATAACATTGTACATTAACACATTATCTTCACTAATTAATCAATTATATAAATATCAAACTTAACAATACCTAACAATACATGGCTTAGTTACTATCAGTGGCGGCCGGTGGGTAATCGAACTGGTGGTGCACTTTACTAAATTATTAGAATTATAAAATGCAACAAAACATAACAAGACGTCAATCACGTCTCAATTCGTCATACATCGGGTGCTCTCGGTAATCTTCGGTCGCTCGTGCGGCGCTCGAGAACCGACTCATTACTCGGTACATTTCTATGAACTATCTTTTGTTTCACGCGTCAGGCGTATTAATGCGTATCTCATACAAGATGTATTAGCAGTCCTCGTGCACTCGCCGAAGCGCACGATATGAGTTTAGTAAAGCACTCAAACTTTTTGACCATAATTAGAAAATTTAATTTTTTATACGTTTTCATATGTTTAAAAAATAAATATTAAAATGGTAATTTAAAAATAAAGATGAAGTAATATTTGGTATTTTTTAAATCTTTTGAATTGGTGGTTCAGCGCACGAGTGCACTTAAGGTACAGCCGCCACTGGTTACTATGTATGTTATTATATGAGAATAAACGATATTAAAGCCGTACATATTTGGTTATATACATATACGTAGGCGTACTTTATGTTTAAAAAATTAGGATAATATTTAAAAAAAGAGATTAAGTATCGAGATTACTAAAATGTCACCAGTTTAAGATGAATATTAGAGATTGGTTCCATAAAATATAATGACAGCAAGTATTACATATAACTTGCAACATTTCATTTGTCAGCAACACGTCGCATTTCTTTGTATTAATATTTATTATCGATGTATTTTATGTTTTAATTACAGACAACGACTTTTATTACACATTAATCTGTTTAATATATCCTTGAGGTAAATAAGATAAGGAAATAAGTAACGTGACTCACTAATAACATATCGGACGATTTTGAAGCTAGATAAATAATATATTTAATTGTGATAGATATTTGAAAGAACAGGTCTTATAGAACTTGTTGGCAATAGTTTTGGTCGTATGTAGTTTTGGTAGTAACAACTTCCAAGTCAGTTCTTTGTTATTAAAACGATAACATAACTAATAGCTACCAAAAATTTAAGATACTTCAACGAAATATGAAAAGAGAAATCGTTTATTAAACATTTTAATATATGTTAATAATGTTGTTTTCAAAATATTAATGTATACGAAAACCGGTATGAGGAATTAATATAGAAATTGGAAATTATAAAAAGTAAGTTAAGCTGCATTTATAATAATTATTGTTACAACAAATATTAGTTCTATGCGACGTCATAGTCTATAACAATTCACTTATTGAATATCCTAATTATTAGCCTTACTTTACATTCAAGTTTATCTATATGCAAGTGGTCACCATTTTATATGAACACACACACATGCACACCTTACTCACTCACATACACACAGACGGTCGTATCGTATGAAATGAAGTATATCATATGACATTAAATATTTGGGGGTCTTTATGAAGAGTGAGTGATCGGTGAGAGGCAGGAGCTTTCACTGTGTACCGTGACGAGGAACAACCCGGAATAATTATTATTATCACTATAAACAGGTTAAGAAACTTAAATGAAAGTAATATTTTTCGGATGTACTCCCGATGTTTTGGTTTCTTTACAGCAACCGTGATCACGGGCACATCTCGTCTGCCCGTGATCACGGTTGCTGAAACGTCGGGAGTATGGCATTTTTGATAAAAATAAAAAAAATGCGTAGTATATAGGAACAATATTAGTTTCATTTAAATAAATAGTCGCGAAAGTCTTAAATCTCATTAGGTTAAGAGACTGTTACTTAAAAATACAAATATATTATAGAAAAATCAGATGAATTATTTAGTAAAAGTCAAATCAAAATTCAAATAAACACACACTTGTCCCTGATTATATTGAGCCTATTAATATGTGTACTAAGTATATTATTATAAATGTATTTTTAGGGTACAACAAACTTGAAACTCTTGTACATTATCAACAGAGGCAGAGTCACCTGATGTATAACATAGTAATTTATATTAAGACCATCACTACACCTTAATGTATTTATCTTATTCTCTCATCCTCGTCTGGATGCTGTACATCATCATCATCATCATCAGTCATCCTCCTCGGTTCAGTGGTCACAGTGTACGTGTTTCTGTTCGTGATCTTTGTGTAATCAATTTTCCATTTCAGTATCACACGCTATCACAGAAGAAACAAATTAATTCATATATAGATATCTTTATAAGTTAAAATAATTTCTAGAAACAAATCATGTTGTAATTATTACACAATAATAATTATTACAAAGTAACAAAAGGTAAGCAAAAAAATCTATTGTCGTCATTCAGTTAGTGATGTCATTATTAATATATATCGATAAAGACCTTTTAAGTTTATCGATAGTTTTGTTTGTAATAATGTAACTTTCGTGTAGATACATCGAACTATATTTCACTGTAAGCCACTATCACACATTAGAGATCTTTACAGATTGTAATTTCTTTGTACATTCAAAGTTTGTAATCTCTTCAGTTCCTATAATATTTTTGTTCTCAAGACATCGATAAGTCCACACACCACACGCCTCTAGTTATTCTATTCCTAATGACATCTAATTATCAAAAGACAATTATAAATATTAAGTAATCTGTATATATAATGTTTGTATTATCATTAATTCAATACCTTTCCATATATTTTATTTGTTCATGATCTATATCTTGTCTTATCACACACGACTGTCTCTACACGACCCATCCTTGAACTACGTGGCCTACTTAGACTGTTGAATTTTTAAATTTCTCTATTTACAAAGAAGTTTGCTTATACATACATATTATAGTAGTTTTATGTCAAGTGCATCGATCTGAAATATAAATCTATACTATACTTATATTAAATTAAGTATAGGAAAATATATTTAAGTAAAAAAGGTTATTAATTCTGTCTACAATGTTAGAGCTATGAATATATAATGATAAAGGTTCAATACAACTGTACATATCTTAATAAAGTACTGTAATATTCTCACGAACAGTTTTTTCATCCGTTAAGTTGCGTGTTACCAATTATCCGTAGATAAAGTGTCAGAACAATAAAGTCTTACTGAAAGCTGTGACCCGAGGACAGAGGATTGGAGAATAACTTAATATTAATTCAATTTTGTCTGTACGTTTCATAGAAGTTTGACTGTCTGGAACCAGATTAGTAGTAAGTAGTAGAATACGTAAAGTGTCCAATGTGCTTAGCACGAGTTATTCTCGACACACGTTGCGCTTCTCGTTTCTCATTTTATTAGCTACATTAATATTATATTGTGTTAGTATTTATTAATGAAAAACTGTTGTCGTTTGTAGTATGACGACGGTGACTCGTGCTAAGCATCATGGTGAATAACCTAAAATAAACCTTAGCGGGAAAATATGTATGTAAACTTATCAGTTTAAATGTATTGAACTGGTTCAATACTATTGATGTACCACATAGTATACTAGTTCTTGCCCGTGACTTCGTCTGCGTTAGTTTCAGAATTAAAAATTGTATATCTGACCGGGCGATCTTTATTCCTCCTTAAAAACAGTAGATAAGAATTAAGAAGATTTTGGATTTGCTGAACTTATTTTTTTTCTTTTTCAATCGGATGAAAAGTATCCTATGTCCGTTCCCTTGTTTTAAGCTGTCTCTCCACCAATTTTCAGACGAATCCGTACAGTCGATCTAGAGTTAAAATTGAGTATCTAACCCGATTTTTTTTATATATACAGGGTGACTGGTGAATTACTATCGATATTTGAGGACGTGGTAGTTGACGATCATATATGACAAAATAAAAATTAATATTACATAAATATTAATAAACTTCTAAGTAAAGTTAACCAAAAGTTATGTAATTAATTACGCATCGTGTGAACACCCTACAGATTAGGTATACACACACACTCACACATACGCGTGTGGCGGCGTAGTGTTGTATCAGCACGCCGCCGCACGCGTCCACACTAGGAACACTTGGAACGTGTCAACACTTTATTTATTTATACGGAAATTTGGTCAAAAATTAAGTACCTATTTTTTTTACATAATTCGAATGAGAATCATGTACCGAGTATGCTCCTTAAATATTGATAGTAATTCACCAGTCACCCTGTATAAAGAAGATATTTCGAAAGACCAGGGCCTTCATCAACGTGGTTTGCTTATATTTATTTCCAATCAATATATACTCTCATTCCTCATATCTCTGATATCGAACTACGACAGATAACATCTGTATAATCACAACCTAAAAATATAAACTATCTTTAAGTCAAATAAACTGACAAATTTGCATATATTATTAGTTTCCGTCCTATATAAAATATTCTTTAATGAAATAAAACAACATAATTATGTATAGCATATCTTATATCATGTAATATCCCTTTTCCAATATAAAAGAGAATATATAATTAACTTGTATTTCTATATTCTGATTCATAAGAGGTGTTGTGTTTTCCCATTGCGTATCCACGTAAGTTAATTCATATTAATATGTCCCGAGCAACACGAGACGAGGAAAACGACCTCACTGACACCGAAACTAACTAAATTAAAAAGTAAGCATCGAGATGTCTTTGAGTCATAAAAAACACATGGATTCTGCAAATCATTACATTTTAGTGAACCTCCAGCCATTCTGATATAAGCTTTGTTGAGTTATAATAGAGTACAAATTACATTAACTGACTTCTTTTATTATAGTTTGTTCTTGATGATCAAAAGAAAAGTGGCGAGTCTGAAAGAAAGTAAGTCGTTTATGATGTTACTAATTATTATAAAATAAATTATGATGATTACTACTTATATATTAAACATTGTAATTAAAGACAGATCGGTAGAAAAAATTACAGATCTTTACACAAAGATGTCAACGAGAAAACCTTTTTTTAGTAACAATTAATAATAGTTTAAAAAACAAAAAAATCGCTTTAGGTATAGCTAACCAAACTAAAACAAGAAAATATTTTAATTCAGAGTAAGAAATTTGGGATGCTTAATATTGAATGTTGCAATAATAGTGGCAACTATCTATGAGAGGAAAAATATGAAAATATGTAGTCAAATGAACGTACATACATACAACACGAGCTAATATAAAAGCGTGTTAAAAATATTGAATACAGTCTTAAAGAATGATTACAAAATATATACAAGAAATAATTTCATAATAAATGATATATATCTATAATTGTTTTATTTCACAGATCATTTAACATTACAATCACCTTATCTAATTGTATGCTGTACCTTCGCTTCTTCCTCTTGTGAAATATCCGAATCAAAAATAGTAGCGAAATATAGGAGGCCTTTGAGAACATAATTACATTTTAAAAGGGGCTTTAGGTTATATATTAAGTCAGTGGTGATTAGTTCTTAAAAGGCCCGCTTCTCATGCACAAGAACGCGGGTTCGATCCTGGCAAGTACCAATGTGATTTTTCCGAGTCATATGTACTTTCTAACAGTATTTAGACATCACTGATTAATGCATTCCCAAGGAGGGTTGATTTCAGGCAGGCGGCTGATCGTAAAAAAAATTAGCCAAAACTATTCACAACACGTAAGGCAGATTCTGGCTAAAGCTGGCAAATTGCCAGGAAGAAGAAGACTTAAAATTATATATTTATTTAATAATATTTGAATCCTCACTAATACCAGTTATATATACAGTCCATATTATAAAAGTAAGTTTTTACATCACACGGTAAAGCCAAGTCGCTTGTACGGGTTACTATTGAATCATAGCTCTATATCGTCATCATTCTATTTTGAATCGTATCACTTGTGTGTAAGGTATATAATTATTTGTATGATGACAGGGTCGGTGTAGTCAGGATTCCTTCGAAAGCAAAGCCGGATGGTACACCCTTATGGTTGAAACATGTGGACTAGTGCGGGGGAATCAACTGTTATATGAGAAATATATAGAAAACAACGAAATGATACTGGGAGAGGGATTACTGGAGGTGTCAGTTAAAGAAGACTTCAATATAAAGTAAAAGATAACAATAATTTAACAAAATAATAGAATACATATTTCAATGTTCTCAACGTTACAATCATGGGAACAATCGTGTACAGTGAGCATTTGTTCATGTAGTGTCTAGTATATCTAGATGTATGTATATCTCTTCTAGGTATTATATTAGATAAATGAATAATTTCCAATTAGGTAATTTTTTGTTAAGCACTATGTCCTTTACATTAAAATTTACCATTTAAGAAAATATATTAAAAATGAATTGAATTTATTATGTCTTTAACATACTGTTTCAAAAGTATGTAGTTCGTATTGTAACAAACAAACTTTATTTATAATATGTAAGTTATACGTTTCTTAAGTATATTACTTTCAAAATATCAATGAATATATTGTTTTTTCATATTTATTGACAGTAAATTAAACTAATATTTTCGGATTTCCTACGCGATCTTTCATTTTACTATAAACTATATACTCCCGACGTTTCGGCTACTTTACAGCAACCGTGATCACGGTCAGACGAGATGACGAGGACATCTAAAAAATCGCGTAGTAAATCCGAAAATATTAGTTTCATTTAAATGATTACTCACTAAAATTTTAGATTTCATTTATTGACAGTATTTTAAAATGATAACAATTGTCATTTATGTACAATATCTATCTGTAGGATTGTTACAATAAATGTTATTATAAAGGCTTCTACGGCTGTTGGTGGTGTCCTGGTGACATTTGTTGATCTCCCCCCCCCCCTCCACCATCAGACGTAACATTTGTCAGGCGACAAACAAACTGACATTTGATGACATCGTTAACATTAATAACGATTTGTACACAAGAAAAATAAGGTGGATAGGAACACGGAAAAGAGGGTCATTAAAAGTACATATATGCATAAACATTTTTTAAACTGAAATTTAAGAAATTTAATGAAGTAATTATAGTAATATACGAACATATGTTTACTGTCAATGATTAATAGTTTTCGATAAAACTCTGTCATTAAACAGAATGAGATTTGGACTAACATGTATGTACGGGAAGAGAAAGAAAATAAACCTCGGAGAAAACTTCAATAGACTCGGACTTCAAACTCTTGGCTTAACTTCAGAAGTATGCTCTTCCGATAAAAGAAATGATCTGGAGAACCAGCTTTAAATGAAATAATAGTCTAACAAACTTTTGTAGTTGGTAGAGCCTGGATGTGGTCAAATTACTCCAGTTCAAACATGTGCTGGCTCGACCGGGGAAGCATCACCCTCGTTTACAGTCTTTTTAAAATAAAACATACAGTTGAATTGAGAACTTCCTCCTTTTTGAATTCAGTCAAGAAGTAGCTAAGTTACTCCTTATAACATATTACATAGGCATTTTTTTTTAAATGATCCAGTTATTCTAGTAATTATTCAGACCAACAAGTAGACAGAGATATAAAATAATACAAATATATTTTTCGTTTAGCTACAGTATATTCACCACTGACAGACTGCGAAGGAAAACATCGTGAGGAAACCTGGACTTATAATTTACAATTATAAGTTTGAAATCACCAATCCGTCTTGAGCAAGCGTGGTGATTGATGCTCAAACCTTCTCCATGTGAGAAGAGACCTTTCCTCAGCAGACTCTGATAGGCTGATGATAATGACGAAGATGGCAGTATATAATCGTACTTTCATATGCATTCAGTAAAAAGCATTTAATTTGTAAACAGAAAGACAGTATTTAATTATATTAACTAGCAGTAAATAAGTTTTAATCTATCAGACAACATGTAAATGTTTGCAGAGATTCCTTGGCAAATATAATACGTTGGCACATCTTTATCAAACGTTCAATTTGTCTTATCACTGATACAGTCGAGTGTCGACGCTCGGTGCTGCGGACCGATATTAAAACATTATTCTAGAAGTGAAGCGTGACGTCACAGTTGTACTTTCACTTGTTCATTGAAGTCATTGTTAGATTTAGATTAAATTAATTATTATAAAAAGTTTAACAATCAAACCGTCTCATTGTACAGTGATTCATTATTGAAAAATAATAACATGATACTTTCTCATGAGTATAAGTAGCGTAACTTTCATTAGAACAATTATATATTATATATATCGGCGCTACCAGCTTTAATAACGGATGCGACTTGAAAATAATTTGAGGCTGTCATCAATTCTTATTAGTATTTATGATTATTGTTAAAAGTAAAACGAAATCAAAAGAGAATAGAACTATGTTTGAATCTTGTTATAAATATGACGACTGGACGCACGACGGCTTACTCCAGATTTGAGAATTCAGAATTGATACTCGTAATTCAGAGTTCAGTGAGTGTGTATCATTGAAGTATGTTATTATGAAGAATCTTTGAGAAATACAGGAGCATTAAGATTAATTGAAGTTTTATTTTAAAATATCATGGACCGTACTTGAAGAAGTGACATTTGTAATGTCAGTGAGGCTGGCGTCTCTCTCTCTTTAAAATCAACGAATGTGTAATAAATCCGATATATACATTCTGGCGTATAGTTATTTATGTTAAAAATATATCCAAAAGTATAAGCTTTAATAGCATATAACAGGAATGTAACAGTATGTTAGTAATATGTATAATCAGTGAAGGCAGTACGTCGTTCTTGATTGTCACTGCGGTCTGCGGCATTTCTCCAACACCCCTATACAAGGCTCGCCCTCCGGCGCGCCCTCTCCTGACCTGATTGCGGAATGTTTTGACGTGTTCATAGCACTTGATTAATAGCTCAGCCATTGTGAGACATAAAAGATATACACCGAGTATTATGGACGCTCTGTTTATGAAAGTATTGCGGACAAACTCGCCGCTCGACCGTAAACAAATGTTGGCAATGATTTTGAGAGGTCGATGTAATAAATCATTCTAATGGAAAAGAAATGGTTTCTTCATAAACGTGTTCCTTTGTGATCAATCCTCATGAAGGAAGGTTATGTTTTTGACTTGTATGTATGTTAGTTTTTATGTTCTCTTGTAAATAGTTTGATTTCAATACACCACTAGTGTCACCATTACGACTTGTGGATAGGAACTTAAGTATAATAATATTATGACGGCCACTTTTGGTGACCGTTTTGTGAATGTAGATATAATATTTTCCTTGGTATATTGATAAAATGAACATTTAAAACTTCTTCTTCTTGTTCTTCTTTAGTTAGTGGCGCTTCCTTATAGATTACGTCAATGTCATATGGATTAAAAACTCGACTGTGTTATAATAGACCAGTGCCGATAGTTTTTAAAACATAATTAAATTATAGTAGAATGAAACTCATTAGAAAAGGAGGGGAATATTATAAAAATTAAAGGAAAAATAATTTACGAGCCATCTGAGGTCGGAAAGGGTATGGGGCTGGGTATTTAAGGGTAAAAAATGGGTTTTCTCGATTTCCGACACAACTAAAAGTGCTACGGAAAAAGTTATATGGCAAAGTTGTAGGTAATAGAAAGATCTAAAACTTTTGTGGTAACATTTTCTCACATAACCTTAAATTTTATGTGAAAAATTCGAAAAACCAAATTTTTGGTTTTTTATTTTTATTTCTTACAAAAAACAATATTCAGTCACGAAATTTGGTTAAAACTTACCTTTTAATGTCCCAAATACACTGTAATTTATTTGATTAGAAATATTTATTTTTTCAGCTTATTTTGAATAAATATCAAAAAATCAGCCTCATTTTCAATCGAAAAATCACCCGTCAAAAAAAGAGCTATTTCAAAAATTTGGTATGTTTTCTGTTTGTTGAAATCTCTATATTCCGATGGTGAAGAATAAAATATAAATTTCTTACTTACAGTACCATTTTTGGATAAAATAATCATGTCCCTTTTAATGACATGACACTCGTTATCGTTTTGAAAATGCTCTTTCAATTTATTTTTAATAGTTTTAGCAGCTTAAAGTAAATTATCTGTAAATAACCTAAATGAGGGACTTTCTGGAGAAATTCCAGAGTACACAACTATTAACAATAAATATATATAATATTTATTCAAAATAAGCTGAAAAAAAAATTCTAATCAAATAAATTACAATGCCTTTATTACATCAAAAGGAAAGTTTTCACCTAATTTAGTGTTAACAAATTGTATTTTGGAAGAGATAAAAATAAAAAACAAAAAACTAGATTTTTTGGATTTATCACATAAATTTTGAAGTTATGTGAAAAAAATTTTAGTATAAAAGTTTTAGGTCTTTTTATTACCTACAACTTTGCCACATGACATTTTTCCGTAGGACTTTTAGTTATGCCGGAAATCGAGAAAACCCATTTTTTACCCTTAAATACCTATCCCCATACCCTTTCCGACCTCAGATCGCCCGTAAATTATTTTTCCTTTAATTTTTATAATATTCCCCTCCTTTTCTAATGAGTTTCATTCTATTATATTTTATTTTCACTTTTCATTAATTTTAAAGGCTTCTGCACTGGCCTATAAATTGACTGGAAGGAAGATCCGAGGTCTAATATAATAGTTGGTAATCAAATATAACAAGCAAAATAACAAAGACTCGTACGATACTTATTCTCATTACATGTATTTTGTTATATTACTCGTTTAATATTGTTAAGTTGATGTAATTCTATCCTGGACTGTACTCCTACATACATTACATATCATATTAACATATTTCACCTATAACTTCCCTGATTGTGTTGTATCTAATAAAATATATAATTTGTATAAATTCGTGATTTTAAACTAATAGGTTCTTACTAAATGGGTATGAAAGTATATACTATTCAATTAAAGCTGTAATTTTCGGACATTTCATCTGTCCGTTATCATGATTGCTGAAAAGTAACCGAAACGTTTCGACTATGTAGTTTAAAATAATAAAATACGCGAAGTAATCCGAAAAGTATTAATTTCATTTAAATAAGTACTCGCGAAAATCTTAGATCTCATTAGTGCATCCTACGCTTGAGACACATTTTTTCTCCTGTTAACCTCCAGGTTGACTGGACCGATATTGACGATAATTTCATTTGTAGTTAGGTCATCTTATAAGATGTGACTCGGGCTGGCTTTAACCGACATCAAACAGCAAGAAAATTATTTTTTACTTCGTTTTTGGTGCTGTTACTTCTTCAATTAGTCTGATTTACAAAATATCTTGAAGTAATTTTACTGTTACCAAGTCAATGTCTAAGTAAGAGACCCGAGGCTTTAATGAAACCTCGTATTGATGATGACTCGGGTTTCAAACCGGGCTTCATATGCGGACAGAGTAGCGGGCTACAGCTAGTCTATAATAAAAGTCAGTTCAAAATTGTAGAATTTGTTTCAATTTACAACATAAAGTGGCGTCAGCGTATAAAGTGGCGTTAACGTATTAGTTAACATTGAAAATGGGACGACTGATGATTACGACAAAAAATTGCTACATTATCATAATATTACAACATGTATATATTTATATTTTATTGTAATGTATTACATATAAAACGAAACTGCATTTCATAAGACAGATTTATTGTAATATTTATATGTAACGAATACTTTTAAGTTTTATATTTAAAGCTTACAAATCTTAATATATGTCAAATTATTACGAAAAAATATTTCATTGACATTAAGAAATGATTTAAATTAATTAAATAAATTACAAATATAACCATTGATTGTATCATTTACTCAGTAAGAAACAACGATATTTAATAATCAAACTTATTACATATATCCATATAAATAAGATTTAAATTGGCTTGTTATTTTATCAGTCTTGTTTATCCGTAGCTAGCTATATTGAGGGGTAAAGTAGGGTAACCGTCTAGTTCACGAGGAGATGATAAATGAATTATATGTACAGAGTAGTGACCCGTCCTCACACAGACTGACGTAACGGAGACTTGATCCACATACGAGTGACGAGTTTAAGAGTTACGTACAGACAGACGGACACACCACGTGTCGTGTGCAATATATATTATTTATTACTATAGTTATAGTTGTAGTCTAGTTGAACATAGTTGTTAACCAAAGTGTATAAGGTTTTGTAAACTTTTCTTATAATGAGATCTAAGACTATCGCGAGTATTCATTTAAATGAAACTATGTAATATATTTCCAATTATTTTATTTTTTATTTTTATTTCATTTGTTCAAGTAACAATGACTCAATTAAAAATAATTCATAAATTGTTAATAAAATACCTAATACATAAATTTCGGTTTACTTTCGGTTACTTTTTAACAACCGTGACCACACAGTTTAATTCAAATAGTTTCATTTAAATTTTTCTTATATTAAAATTAACAAGTTGAAGGACTAACTATCTCTCAACCTATTCTTCGTCGCTTTTTATGACTATGATACGACATTGATGTTTCATTTAGAGAGCTCATTACTTTATGTATCTTCTAGAATAATTCAATTTATTCTAATAGGCATATGAGTATTATAGTAAGTATATTTCAAAACATATTAAAGTTTATATTCAAGTCTTAGTTTTCTCTCAGTAATATATTTTATTGTTGTAAAACAAAAGGTTTTAGAGAGTACATCTCTATTATGAGTGTCTCGTTGTAACTAGTCTAATAAAGTCTGTTTACAAAGCCGCGAGGTGTAGTTTTCGGTCGGCAGGCGGTGAACCAAAGACGTATTTCCTCGAGGTACATATTAGGTTTTGTTTCAAACATTAAGGGTTTACTCAGCGGACAACCAGTTTATTGTCTCGGCGTTAAATAAGAAAGTCACAGCGGCGTACTTGACCGCATATTTATACTTGGATTTTATACTTACGTATTTATAGTCCAGAGAACTTTTTTCGTTGGCGTTGTGCTCGCTAGAGTAAGTTTTCTCATAAATTTAAACGATGTATATTCATCATTCCGTATTAAAATGATGAGTAATATATAATAAGTAAACATACATTCGTTCCGCCTTACAGAGCCATCGGTTGAAGAAATCAAATATAATTATTTGGTGACTTTCACTCGCCGCTCGTATGTTCATGGAGCGGTAATGATATTTAGAACGTCATAAGGTGTGTTAGAAATGCTATAAAGCCTTCTGTGGACGGAAGGCTGTTTGAATATCAATACACGAGGAGACCACCCATCACCCATCACCCGGCACATGGCACGCGTCAACCGCGCCTCTGGCCGACCGTCTGACTGTTTATGTGATATTGTGATGTTAATAAGGTACACAGGTCAGCCGCACTTGATCCCTGAACACACAAAACCTTTTCAAACCCTTCACAGAGGGGATGGATTCTTAATATTAATGACCTCCAATAAATCTGTAGTATACACGACGTTTAACAAACTTCTCTACTTAAACATCTGTTTAAACTTGGCTTAATTTCCAAGAATTCGATGACGTTATGAATGAAAAGATTTCACTTCATATCACTTATGAATCACACAGCTGGTTACTCCGGGATACAAGACGTTTATGATTAAACACTATGATAAAGATATCGCTATAATGACTTATATCAATAGAAGAGATTCGTGAGAACCAGCGGGTTAGGAGACGAGGTGGAACAAACAAACAAACATGTTGATTAGAGCCGAGGAACGGAAATTAGTGAGTGGGAAGTTCAAAAAACTGTAATATGATCTGCCGCGGTGAACACGGGGACATACCACGGTTACTTGTGGAGAGAGACAGTTGGACATCAGACACCTTATTGTGTGATGACCGCCGACCTGACACTTAGATAGGAGGGGAGAGAAGAGGCTAGTGACTGATACATGATAGAACCACTAAACTTACATCA